CCAGTGGCTGATTATATGCAGGTCAGCGGGTGGGGAGAGTCTATAGGTAGTGAGTCCCGGGTCTGCCTTCTCTCACGGTCCCTGCAGAGACCAGCCCGAGTGCTGCAGAGAGGCGCGCCCTTCAGGTGGCTGTCCTTGGTGTGGGCTCCGGGCGGCCTGACCCCCAGGGCCCGCTGTCCCTGTAACACAGCCTCTGTCTCCCAGGTCCACAAGGAAATCGCTCATCTGTAGTGAGTAAGGGGACCACCACAAACAACTGTGGTCCTATGTTTATACATGCCCCTCCCCCCCATCAAAACTAGCCTTGCATGGGGAAAAAAGGAGGCTTATGTAACACTTTTTTTTAATTGATTTTTTACAGAGAGGAAGGGAGAGGGATAGAGAGTTAGAAACATCGATGAGAGAGAAACATCGATCAGCTGCCTCCTTCACACCCCCTACCAGGGATGTGCCCGCAACCAAGGTACATGCCTTTGACCGGAATTGAACCCGGGACCCTTGAGTCCACAGGCCGACGCTCTATCCTCTCAGCCAAACTGGTTAGGGCAACACTTTAAACAATAAAGAATTAAAAAATAACTAGCCTTGCATTCCTTGGAAAAATCCCATTTTGTCACGTAATAGAATTATTATTTTAATCCTCACCTGAGGGTATGTTTCCATTGATTCTAGAGAAAGGAAGGGAGAGGGAGAGAGAGAAACATTGATGTGAAAGAGAAACATTGATCGGCAGCCTCATGTATATGCCCAGACTGGGGATATACATGAGTATGTAACCTGAGTATGTGCCCGGACTGAGAATTGAACTTGCAACCCTTTGGTGCACAGGACGATGCTCCAACCGAGTCACACTGGCCTGGGCATGTTAGATACATTTAAAAAATGATCTTGCCTGGCCAGCGTGGCTCAGTGGTTGAGCGTTGATCTATGAACCAGGAGGTTATGGTTTGATTCGGTCAGGCCCCATGCCCGGGATCCCCAGTAGGGGGCGTGCAGGAGGCAACAGTCAATGACTCTCTCTCATCATTGATGTTTCTGTCTCTCCCTCTTCCTCACTGAAATAAATAAAAATATATTTGAAAAATGATCTTGTATTTCGTTCACTGGCATTTTGTTTGACTTTTGCATGTATATTTATAGACATACTAGTGGCCCAGTGCATAGATTTGTGCACATTGAAAGGAAATTAATTAGAAGAAATATTTTAATATTGCTATTTGCCCTTTCTCTATAATAGAAGTGTCAGAGATGAAAGAAAATTGGTAAAATGTATATGAAAATAATATACCAGTATAAATTGATTAACACATAGTCAATAACAACATGACATAACAACAACAAAGACATGATATAAAAACAACCAAAATGATATAAAAACAACATTGAGCCCTAACCGGTTTGGCTCAGTGGATAGAGCGTCGGCCTGCAGACTGAAAGGTCCCAGGTTCGATTCCGGTCAAGGGCATGTACCTAGGTTGTGTGCACATCCCCGGTAGGGGGTGTGCAGGAGGCAGCTGGTCGATGTTTCTCTCTCATCGATGTTTCTAACTATCCCTCTCCCTTCCTCTCTGTAAAAAATCAATAAAGTATATTAAAAAAAAAAGGAAAAAAGAGAAAAACAACTTTGATAAAAATGACTGATAAATTGGTTAAACTTATTCTGATACCTCCCTGTATGCCACATTAAGAGCAAAACCACTTTCAGAGCGCTGGACTGATTTCCCTTGCTTTATATGTATCGCAAATGCACGAGTCAACATTTATTTTTCAATTGCCAGTGCGCGTCACAGGCACCGGCCGACCGGTTGGATGGACGGACGGTTGGTCACTTAGCCTGGTAGGTACATAGAACAGAGTGGTCCGTAGTGCTCTTCGCTGGCAGAGACCTGGTTTGTTTCTGGTAGCGGGTGATGCTGGCGCCGTGGAGTGAGCTGGGAAGTGTTCCCTCTGCTCCTCGGTTTCAGAAGCATTTCTGAAGGGTTGGCGTTAATTCTTCCTGATACTTGTGGGAACTGACCAGGGAAACAAACCTGGGCCTGGGCTCTGTGTAGTGTTTTCATGACTCGTTCATGTCCATCAGATGTCAGTTCTTTTTTCCCATTGAATTCCGGTGGTTTTAGTCTTTCTGGGAGTCTCTCCGGTCACCTCAGCTACCGCGCTTGTTGCTGTACAGCTGTTCATGATGCTCTCCCACAACCCCGTCTGCCTGTAGGGTCGACAGTCACGTCCCCCTCTGCACCCTGACGTCAGGAATTCGAGTCTTCCCTCCCTCGCTGTCAGTCGGTCTAGCTAAAGGTTTGTCGACTTTGCTCGTCTTTTCAAAGGACCACCCTCAGTTCCTTAAGGTTTTCTCTACCGTTTTCTGAGGCCGTGCCTTCTAAAGAAGCAGCCAGACCGGTGGCTCCTCAGTGATCCCCGAGCTCCTGCGGGGGTCCCTGCGGTTGCCTCTTCTCTTCCTCCCCGCGTGGCCGGGCCGCACGTGGGCGGCTCCTGCTCCCGGCTCCCCGGAACGGCTCTGCCTTTGTCTGCATCGTGTTTCCATGTCAAGTTATTTGGAAAAGTTGGTTTATGGCTAAAACACTCCCCTCACATCCATGAAACGAAACCCCACAGGACAGCAAAACTGGGCTGCACGGTTAACACTGGCCCATGAAGCAGTCCTGACGGAACGTTGCAAAAAGACATATAAACATGAACATGAACTTCACACGTGTGCAGAATGAGGTGACACGTTGCCTGGAGACCGAGCCTTCGGTGGAAACGCCACCCCCTGCAGGGAGTTGCCGGGTCAGGTTCAGGTGTCGCCCCGAGGCGGTGGGCCGGGAAGGGGACGGATGCTTTCAGCCCTGCTGTGGGCCGGAATGCCAGGCCCGTGACGCGGTCTCTCACTGCGAGGCGCATGGGAGTCCCTGCGCACGACCCTGGCTTTGCCACCTGCTGGCTGGGCTGACCTGGGCAGGCTCCCCGAGCTTCCTGTCCCCGTTCCCTTCCCTTCCCAGCTTCGGGAGGCCTCCGCGCTCCTCTGCGGTGGTCTCCTCGCCACTGCACAGCCAGCACTGGCACCGCTCGCCCACCACTCCACAGGTGCTCCTGATGGCGCCGGGAAGGGGCCCCTGAGGGACCTGCAATTAGATGGGGCCACCTGGGACTCCAGGACAAGCCCAGGGTCCATCCTCAGGCACACCCACAATGCCCGCTGTGCCCCGCAGAACAGGAGTCCTCTGATTTCAGGAAGGTCTGAAAATCAGAAGAAAAGGGTGACGCCCCTTAGGGAGCTGGACCAAGGGCCTGACAGGGAGCGACAGAGGGAGCACAAGTGACAGAAGGGGTAGGAGCTGCTCCCTCACCAGGATGGAGGAGACACACACACAGAGCCCAC